CGGTATTTGAAGAAGAGCCGGGGCAAGCAGCTAGTATTTTAATGATTACCCCGACACTTAGCATTATTACCAGAGTTGAAACAAACAGGTGAATCATTCTTGAGTTCCTACATTTTTACCCTGACAAATAATTTTTTTCATAATTATTGTTGTTTTTTTTGGTAAAGTTGTATTTGTTTTCACTTGCTACAGTTGTGCTGACTTAAAAGTTTTTCATCCGAGCAAATTTATGACGTGTTTCCACAATGTATACTGGTACATGTACCGATACATGAGAGAAAAGACTGAGTTTTATTTAATAATTGTGCTACACAATTCTGTAAAACATGAGCTTGTCATGAAGTGTTGTAGCTGGGACTCTTTTAGTCAAAAATAAACAAACAAACAAACAAAAAGCAAATCCAAAAAGCAGATCCCCCCATAAAAAAAACACCCCAAATTAATGCAAATCAGAAATTATCACAAAAATGTTTTCTATCCTTGTCTTATTGGATAGGAAATTGTGGCAAATCAAAGATGACTAAAATAGGTATTCCACAAACTATACATGTATGAAATCTGAAATATTGACCATCCTTTTTGATGATTCTGATATTTTTTAAACAAGGATTTGTTTAGACCTCTGAGAGAATTGATAGTATTTGATAATTGTGTGGAAACAGAGACTTGGTGAGCGCATGAACATTTCTAATTAGGAGTTGCGACATTGTGCCATGGTTGTATGCACTCCGTGCTGCGGTTTGTGCGGTACAAGGTCAAGATTGCCTTTGGAAATCAGTGAGGAAAGTATCAATTATTTATGTCTGAATGGTTCACGATAGGTGGACTGGAAGATATGTCGTCCATGTACATGTATGCATACAACATGTACCTTTATGTAATAATATGAGGGTTTTTTTACCATGTCATGCATAAGTTATGTTTTACTAATGCATTTCTGAGAATATTTAATTCATCTGAATTTTTATGATTCATTGAACTAGGTGTACATGTAGCATTGGGATTTAAATAAAATATTGTGAACAAAAAATATGTGGAGCTCTCTGATCAGTCGAATCCAAAAACACCAGTCGTTTTCTTTAGCTTGTGTCAGCAAAAATAATGAAAGGCTTAATTTTTTAAGATTGATGTCGAATATCCAGTTTTCAAAATACAAACCCAATAGTGGAATTCAAACTGAAATTTTTAAAAATGATTTAGGGTGTGTACACAAAAGAGTGCAATTCAAAATACGAAACGGCAACTTTTGAATCGGAAGCGCTACGAATTGACCTATTGCGGTAGACTCGCGTTAGAATCGCGTCAACGCAGCTTGTGGAATATTGTCCAATTACATGATATACAAATGGACGCGGAATGCGCAACGTCTGAGACAAACAAAACTTAGCATACAAACATTCCATTGGGTTGTCTAAGGGGCGTGGCTAACTCGCAAACGGCGATAGGTCAATTGAATCAACTGACGGGACTCAAAATTATGCACACATGTACATGTAGGTCTACTCTTTCTTCTCAAACAAGTACCCACTGAGCTGAAACTTTAACAGGTTGGTTGTTACAAATGCGTCCAACTAACATTAAAATTTTCAGCAATATTTGTTGCTTTGAACATAAAAGAAATACAAAAAATGCAAATGATTGTTCGTAACTTTAAGCACACAGTGATGATGATGATGGGTAATAGTTAGTGTGGGACCATGTTATTAAGTCTTGTTCCAAGAGTCAACGGTGGGGCTTACATATTAGTTTCAAGAAAGGAGAAAGTACGGACTAATTAACAGCTTGACAAAAACAAGCTTGCAAGAGGAGAGGGCTGGCCTGTTTCATCGGAGGTCAATATCTCATCAGACGTTGGCATTTCCAATTGTAATTCCCAGGCTGTTTGGTTTGCTGATCTCCATGGCATCTGTGTAATGCATTTAATAAGCCCCTGTGCGGCTAGGATTTAGGATTGGATTTCATCCCGTTAGATTCCGGCAAGCTTCAGTTGGACAAGAAAATGAAGAGTTGTTTTTTTCTTTTAAGAGGGGTATTGATTTATTAGTAGTGGATATTTTACACGGACAGTGAAGATCATTTGAATTAAAGGTTACGAAGCACGTGTAGGTACATGTTTCAGAAATCTTGACTTTTAGACGTGACTTAAATCTTTGTAATCAGGGGAGGAAGCAGAAGTCATTTTTGTGTCTTTTTAACACAAATTATGGCTAAGTTTTCCAATTTTTATTATTTAATGTACACAAACCATGCACAAGCTTGTGGCATCTCCACATGCGCACCAGGCGCCCAGCGTTAACAACATCTTCACATGCGCACCAGGCGCCCATCGTTAACAACAGCTTCACATGCGCACCTGGCGCCCAGCGTTAACAACATCTTCACATGCGCACCAGGCGCCCAGCGTTAACAACATCTTCACATGCGCACCAGTTGCACAGCGTTAACAACATCTCCACATGCACACCAGGCGCCCAGCGTTAACAACATCTTCACATGCGCACCAGGCGCCCAGCGTTAACAACATCTCCACATGCACACCAGGCGCCCATCGTTAACAACAGCTTCACATGCGCACCTGGCGCCCAGCGTTAACAACATCTTCACATGCGCACCAGGCGCCCAGCGTTAACAACATCTTCACATGCGCACCAGGCGCCCAGCGTTAACAACATCTTCACATGCGCACCAGTTGCACAGCGTTAACAATTTTCAAGAGGTTGACCCTATTGCAACTCTATCCTTGTCATGGGTGGTTTTACATTGGTCCCAGTCTCTCAGAGAAAAAGAGAAGGAAAGGAATTTTTGTGACGATAGCACGGCAGGGCGCATGCACGTGGTGTGGCCAGTCAAAATAACGATTCACGGACGTTCGTTGCCCCACGGCTTGCAGCACTTTTGCTGTGCAGAATTTTCCTTTATTTTTTCAGCTAAATATAGATAAGATTTGATGTGAATTTGATGTGTCCGAAACTTTGAGTTTTCCCCGGATCTTTTAAGAACCTCACAAACTCACACAAGAGATTTGTCACATCATGCACATGGTGCTAACGTATGTAAATCTTTATCTTACAGCTCAAAATAGTTTTATTTTTAATCGAGGCACTTTTGGATAATTTTACAGGGGAAGTGTTTTGATAAATTTCATGCGGTAAATTGGATTGACGACATTTTGTTTGAACGCTTTCATGCCTGAATACTATCCAAATACTGGGAGCGCCAGTATGGCACGTTATAAGGGGCGCACCACATGTTGGTGTTTTTTTTCCTGCTACTCGAGTGACAGTAACCTGAAAAATCCATAATCCAAATAATAATGTAAAAAATGACGTTATTATTTTATAACTAGCCGTATGTGTTTATGTTCTGCGAACTCTCATCATTCATGTCAAATTTGTGTTGTAATCTGATAAATCCTCAACCAAGCATTCATAAGATTCAAGAATTCAGCCTCCAATGTTCCGATACAGTACTCCCTGCATGGACATTCATCCAGTGTGCACTGCTTGACACATCATGTGTATTTTATAGGCCCCTGGATTTATGATGTGCGAGACAAGTGACTCGTTGAATGCTTAAGTCACTGATTAGCACATCTTGACACTGTTTCAGATTCGTGTCGTGCGCTACCTCTGCTGGTTCACAGTATAGTGTGTCAGAGTTGTGCAAGACGGATGCCCCAAATTCCCTACTCATTCATATTGGAATTATGAATAACTGATGTTAGTGATAAATATATGAAAGCCACAGCGATATTTCTGTAGCACGTATTTGCACACATCTATAATATACAATTTATTGTGGATGGCTAGCTTTGGCCTTTGTAGTGGAAAAAAGTGGATGCTATCTTTACTTCTAAATCACACGTCAAACAAGATGTACATGTACTTAAAAGTGTTCAACATCATTGTCGCTTGCATGTTTTCAGGCTATGATTTAGCAATGTTTGAAAGACACTGAAAAATAATGGGGAACAATTTTAGTCCATTATACATGTACATGTAAGCAGATCAATATAATAGAGAAAACACCGTCAAATTTTGTGTGACTACACGTCTCAGCCAAACGATTTATTGAAAACTTTCCAACCCTAACCTCCCCAACTCCATCAAAATCCATCCCCCCATTTTGGGGATTTTGGTAGGCAAGCCATGAGTACCAAGTCCATCAAAGTTCAACTATAATAGTGGTGGTCTTGTGGTGGATTTTAGTGGATTTGGTCCTAAAGCATTATGTGAAGCAGGGTCAGTGATGGATTTTGGCAGACTTGGTCCAGTACTTAGTAAAAGACACTCGGGAGTTAGGGTTAAATATGTTTAGCAGTTTTTTAGGTTGTTTTTTTTTAAAAGAGCGTGTAAGTCTCATCAGTCCACGTTCACATGTGAACGTCTTGGTACCAAACACTGACTAGTCTAGTGCAGACTGTGTTTGAATTTACCCAATTGTTATCCGTGTGATCGATTGAACGGAAGTTGAGGTCAACAATTTTAATATCCTCATCAATTCGCAATATTTCAATATGTATTGTTTACAAATATGGTTATACATCGTTTACAAATTTACATGCTGTTTGTTTGAAAGTTTGTTGGAAAGTACCTTGTGTAGACTTTGTTTAGTAAACAACATGGTTGATTTGTAGTGCATGATTAATAACAGTATCTTTTGCTCTTGAAGAGAGCGCAGAGTGGTATTCTAAAAACCTTACTTTAATAATTGACAATGAGAGTTTCAGGGGCTTATATGTACTTTGGGGAGGGACGCCTTACACTTGAAATTACCTGTCTAAAAAATGTAGTCATTGTAATAAATGTATACTTTGTCTTAAATGATTGAATTATCTTTGTTGTTTTTTCGGAGGTATGACCAGAGAAGGTTTTGCTGTTTTTGTTATTTTTTTTCTTCAATTGCATTGTCAAACAGTTTTATTTACAGGAAACATAAATTATATGGATTGATTAATTGATTTGTTTTTTCTTCATTTTTTTGTGTGTCTCCACAGTCCCTGGAGAGTACGCGGCGTATGCTGCAAATGTCGGAAGAGGTAGGTTGAATTTTCTGTGATTGAAGTTTGCATTTGCTGTTCACTCACCTGCAGGTGATATTAAAGTGTGCAACACCAAAAACTAATGAGAAAAGTCAAAGTACCAACGATTCAAATCTATCCATTCAGATTTTTGGGTTTCATCCTGAATTTCCTGATCAGAAAGTACTTACAATTTTGAATAATTTAAACAATTTGAATGTGACTGTAATATTGACCTGCACTTTTGAGGACAGCCAATTTGTTTTAAAATTATTAGTAAAAAAAAGTGGCTCATACAGACTACGCTTGTACATGTCTCTTGGCCTAATCTTTTTGACTTTACGTCTGTCATGGTTGAATGTTGGTCACTGTGTCTGTTTTTGTCTATTTGTGTGCATGCTATAAGCATTTCAGGGTTTTTTTCTTCATCTTTTGGTGTTTTCGGGAAATGGGGGGAAAAAAGGACAGGGTTCCAACAAGATATAAGCAAAGCGCCATTCCATCCCCCCCCCCCAAAAAAAAAAAAACAATGACGAGACTTTATCTTTTCTCCCTTTTGTGCAAGATGATAAATAACCATTATTAGTTGTGTTTTTTACTCAAATACTACGCCTCTCTAGTCATGCCCGATACCTTGACCGCAACGAGCCAAAAATAGGCAACTGCACAAACAAGCCATAATAGCCAGAGGTAGGCTGCGAGTTTCCATCCTGACAATCCAGATTCTTTATTCAGTGTCGCTTGGCTGCACCAATGGCTGATACCGTTACATGAGAAACACTCCAGATGTGAAGAATGGAGTCGTTGGATTGGTGGGTTCTGTTGCCCTCCGGTTGTATACTTAACCACACTGGATCAGCCAGATACACACTATAGTAATGACACAGCCAGAACTGCGTAGCGCCGTGTACTTATGGAAATGCCATAAATATTTTGTTTTGATTAATAACATAAACATTTGGTCTGCTTCAGAGAAATGGTATTTCAAAAAATGTTACCCTACCCAAAACCTAAAACTGAATAAAACTGCTGCAAAGAGCTCACTGACTGGATTGACCTGAAATGTACTAATCAGCAAAATTAGATGGCCCAACGCTTCATCCTAGCTGAATCATTTTAAGATCTTTTCTCAAACTATGTAAGAAACTGCAAGACTGAATATCATTTTGAATAGTCTAGTTGACGCTTGTGATGCAATAACCAAGTTGGGGCGCCACCATCACTAAACATTTTTGGTCACAAATCAAGCTCACCAACCCCCGTGCATATTAAATTAAAAACATTAATGTTTTCCAAACTTGTACACTATCATGTATACATTGTAGGTTACATGTGGACGCATTGTTAGTACACATTTATACGATTTTTTTTTGATATTTTTGTTAATGATTATGTTTTGGACGCATTTAAAACAAATAATTTTATAAGATTATATCATAAATCAGCTTCATTTTTCTTTAATTAGATAATATCTTGCATCTGATGAAATGGATATAGTGTTGTAACATCTTGATCACTATGTGTCCTTAAAATATATGCCATATTATATCCCAGAAAGATAAATGCATGATAGCTGCACTCAACATTTGTTTTATCACCCTTGCAATCATCTTCATAATTATCGACTTTGATTTTGACACCTGAGACGTCTCATAGCATGAAAACCTCAGGCAAGAAAAACAATTTAAAACCCAGTATATATATTTATTTCGCAAACACAATCGCCCAGTGAAAAGTGATCAGAAATATTGTAGGCTGCCAGTGTTGGTTGCCGTGCCTGCTGGTTTTACTCAGATGTCCCGAGAGAAATCTGGACTTTGTCAAAAACGTCTCGCCCAGACCATCAAAAAAATTCATCTTGCTCTGAAATGATCCTGGTGGCACGTCTTACACCCCAGAAAATGATATTTCATCTCAAGAGTTTTCATTATCAATTTGAAGATGGCATTTCCCCCCCCCTTTTTTTTCTAAAAGACCATTACGTCAATGTGTGGGCAGCAAAATCCTGGAATTTCTGTCAAAATTAGTTTTTCTTGTGAAGTTGCCATGAGCAACTGGTGATTAGATTGCATGTGGTTTATGCGTCATATTTTTCAAGAGGCTCGGGACATTCATCTCAAAGCTTGCAATCTCCATGTTACCATTGGGACCCAGATGTCTGGACAGAAATCCATGGATTAGAATTTTGAAGTTTTAGTAAGTTTTATTAGTTGGAGGCGAAACGTGACGTATGAAATGGTGAGCTCATAATCCGATTTCTGTGCGGGCTTTTCAGATTGTACATGTAACCTGTAGGGCAAACAAAAATATCATCCATCTTAGACCCCCAAAAAAAAAATATTCGGTCTCTGGTCAGATCAAAGTTCCGGAATTGACGCGGCCACGCGGCTTTTTTTTTTTTTTTTTTTTTTTTTTTTTTTTTTTTTTTTTTTTTTCCAAGCTTGGATTGTACAGACAAGGTGGGTCTATTTTGCTTTTTTGTGTCCTCATGTACATTGGTGTCCTCTATAATTTGCCTTGGTGCTTTCGATCATTTGCCTTGGTGCAATTTCCCATTCCTTGGTGCTCTTTGGTAAAAAAATTGAGGAGGTGTGGAAATAGAGGGCGCTGTTGGAGCTACCGCGGAACATTTTGGAAAAATAGAAGATCGACGCGCGCGCTGACCAGAGACCGACTTATTTTTTTTTTTGGCCTTACAATGAATTGATCATTCAGACTTTGTTGTTTTTAATGAAATTATTATCATTAATGTTTTTGTTTACTGTATCTCCCCAGAGGAGAACCAATTAAAGACAGGAAAAATTGTTTTGACATGCTTCTTTAGGCCTATAAGGTTAATCCAAAAAATCATAAACTAGAAAGCACTCAGAGAGTGCAAACCTCCGCCAAGGCTAAACAATTCCCCGCCATATTGTCAGTACACCCAAAAGAAATAATCGCATAAATGGTAAAGAATCCTTTAAAAAAAATCCTGGATCCAGACCAAGTGCTGGATCACTTCCAAAAACTAATTGATTTGTAGTTGTACCAAGGACCACCCCTAAAAAGATTTTCATGCAAATCTGTCCATAACTTTTTGAGTCATCTTGTTAACAGACAAACCAACCAACAAACTAACCAAATCCGATGAAAACATAACCTCCTTTGTGGAGGTAATAATTTCTTTGAAATATATCACCAAAGTAAAAAGTTTGGCAATTCCTTAGACTACACCGTCCATATTGATAAACCGTACTAAGATGGTACCGCATGCGAGTGCTGGTGATTGTACATTGTTTAAAGTTGTAAACACGCTTTTATGTGCAACAATTGGCAAGCTTGATGCCACCTCAGTTTTGTCTTCTAATTGTCGTCGCGTTACCAGTCTATTCGGAGAAGTCAACTATTCTGCCGACTTCTACTCCTGAAGTATTCCTGAAGTACTATTCACAAATAGGTTCTTGTGGGATTTCTTTATAGGGAAAAAAAAAAGACTCTTGACATTTGAGTCGGAGTTCAGACAATAATGATTTCCCCTCGGTGGAACCATTGTCATTGATTGCTGAATGATTGTCACTCGTTGGGACATCCCAGAGGTGTTCGAATCTCAAATGCAAACTCCCCACAGTGCGCTCTGGCGCACTGCAATGTGATCCTTATGCAATTCAAGACCCTCATTCAGGTCTCTCGCTAGCCAAAGTGCAGAACCTTCCAGACTTCCGACACACCCCGGAGCAGTTGTGACATTTTGGTGACTGGCCAGTATGATACAAATTGATCTCTTGTTGCCCTGCCACCCCCAGCCTTACACCTCTCTGGATGGTTGGACACTGTGTCAAATTTCAAAGACTGATATGTGGTAGAAATATCAGAGTTATCACTAGATGAAGTCTGTGTTCTGGGAAAAGCTGTTGATGACTAAATATCATGGAGGGGGGGGGGGGGACTGTCTGCTCACCGTTGGGTCTTTCGAGTTTGTGGACATCACTCAGCAAGGCAAGACAATGTACTCAAAATAAGGAGATCATTGAGCAGTAGGTTGGATACAAGTGTGCAATTGAGACAGGGTCTCTCGTCATGGAAACTGAAGCAAAGATTATTTTTAAAAAAACCCATTTATTTAGCCTTTGTATTTGCTTCAAGCAGTTTTTGGAGATCAGTCTTAAAAAAAAAGATCAGTATGGATTTGGGAATTGACAGATGACAGTCCAACGTTTGGTTGATCTTCAGTGGAAGTGAAGAATCAAGTAAACTTTATTGTCACAGATCGTTTGCAAAAGTACCTCGTGACTTAATGACAGAAACCTTGCTCAAAGTGAAGAAAGGACTGGTGTCAAATACCCTGTGAAATTTTTCCGCCTGACATGGGTTTTTTTGAAAGAAAAAAACTAACATTGGAGATGGTTCCAGACTAGATGGTTCCAGGTCAAGTTACTAGACCCCAAAATTGTGCATACATTTTCTCTGTTTTCTCAAAATGCGTAGTATTCGCTAAGCTGAAAAACTTCAACAGGTTAGTTTTTACTGACTATTCTGAAGATTTTTGAGCAATTTTGTTGCTTCAAACAAAAACATAAAAAGTGACTGATCATACGTTCTTTTGAGAGAGACCCCCCCCAATTTTTGCAAGGTTTTTATTTGAGCAAATGTCTGGAAACAGATCATGAATGTTACCAAAGAACACAAGAGGATTGACTATGATAATATAGTCGCAAATGTTGTTCTTAAAAAATGAACCGACTAGATTACCCCACCCCCACTTTATCAATAATTGAGGACCTCATAGGTCCTTCGGGACAGATGAAGTCAGAAACATCTTTATTAACGCCTACTCACTTTGTCCACCCCCCTTAGTCTATTGTCTTATTTACTGCCCACGCACTGGCTTGTTTGTGGCGGGATTCATTACAAGGTTTCAGGTCTGTGCTCCAGAAAATCCATGCCAAACAGAAAATTGGAAAGTGTTTTGACTTTTAGAAGTCAGCTTTTGCCAGACATTTAAAAAAAAGTGTAACATACAAAATTTATTGAAATTAACT